TGTGAGAGGAGAGATGTCACCTCAGTTTCGAGAGCTCTTGCACGTGCTCGTGTCATGGGTCCAAGTGGTGTCGTAGGAGATGTAGTTGGGTCCATGGGGATGACCTTGGGATGCTCCGCATCAAAGATGATGTAGGGTGGAAACCCTAGGGCCGATCTTTCACTAAATGGAGGGGATCCTATGAAGAACGCAAAGAACACGAGGGGAAAACACGAGATAAAGACACTCAAATCAACGAGAATAATCACACATGTGCTAGATCCATGAACATAAAGATTGGTACAAGATCCAAATGCAACAAAGGATGATACAAGAGGCGGTAGTTCTTCTCCGTGAGGAGGTCTTGAGGGGTCTTTCCATGAGGGGTCTTGAATCCACTTGGGGTATCTTCTCTGTAGAGGCCGCGGTCTTCGGAGGAGAAAGTATCAAGTGGATGAGCAAAGATCTATCTCCAAAATGAGCTATCACATTGCTAACCCTAAAAATGGGGAGGAGGAGGAGGTCTATTTATAGTCTAAGCCACTAAGGGGTAAGTGAGGGGGCGAAATGGGTACATGGGCCTCGGCCAGAGTCATGCGCGCTGGCAAAGGCCGGATGATCCGTATGGGGGTCCGGATGATCCGGGCATCGTCCGAATGATCAGGGACCTCGTCCGGATGATCCGGATTCATCGAGGAGATTCTGCAAGCTTCGGTTGTCGAGGTTGGGGATTTACCCGGATGATCCAGGAGGGCATCTGGATGATCCGGCTGAGCCCGGATGATCCGGACGGCGGCCTGGACGTCCGTCCTGGTTCTAGCAGCCGCTCCGTCTTCTTCTCCTTTCTTCCGTCTTCTCTTCCACGCTTCCCTCGCGGACGGTGTAGTCGTTCCTTGGCGCTTGCACTCCTCCTCGACATCCGTGAAGCTCCGACAATACATATGCATGCACACGGGAGAAGTGTCAAGTAGTATACCATCCTCGAAGGGATCAAGTGAGCACGTGTAAAGGAGATGATTCACCTTTGTGTGAGTGAAGTAGATGTCGCACGTGTCACTTGCCGAATGGGCTCTTGACATGGTGATGTCCGTAGGGTGCTCCGCATCAGTATAGTCCCACAAACAAGTCACGTACTTGCTGATACACATCATAGATAACGTCCAAGGACTATCTTTATTTATAAACACATAGAAAATATCATCATACATGATTGCCTCTAGGGCATATCTCCAATAGGTCCGAGGGACCGCGAGTTTTGCACCACGAGCACTTCATGTATCTCATCTTGTTCATGCATTTACAACTTGATAAATGTCTTGCTATTGTTTGCCATATTTGCTTTGCTTGTTGTGAGCTTGCGTGTACATTCAAAGTACTCACCTGGCGTGTCATGCCGGTTTCTGGAGAAGCTGTACCAGGAGTTGAAATTGTACCGTTCGTCACGATCTAGGCCGTGTCCCAGCAGTGTCCCTGTGAGATGGAGTTTCGCTTCATTGTCGTTCCACTGCCGCATAGAAGTTTCACCGAGGCCCCTGTTCTGTCTACTAAATAATGCACATAAGTTCAGCCACACTGTGTGTGCCGCTTGGCCTCGTTTCATCATGTACCCGTCGAACTTATGCATCCGTTAGATATCAATAAAGCGGTCGTTTTGTGTACCAAGTTCTGGTGCATTGCCAGAAGACTTGATCTTTGGGCTGGCAATGCAAGGTAAACTGGTAGCTTTGAGCCGGGGTGCCACAAATACAATTGCAAAGTTCTTGAAGCAGAGCAGGAGAATGCTAAAACCATGAATGGTTTACAAAGGGCATTTATGCATGAAGTGAAATTTCATGAGCAAACATCAGCCAACAGAACCAAGTTACTTCATATTCTCCAAAATCTCAAAGGTCTCAATATGGAAGAGGTTGTCATGGTTGTTCGTGTCATTGGTGGTGATGCTGGAAAGACCAAACTTTTTATCCAATTGCGTGATTATTACAAAGTGGTGTTTGTTCGTCAGGAGCACGAGGCGGCCAAAAAATAAGTGAATATCCAGATTTATAGTTCTAGATTGGTAGTTTAATTGTTTAGCTCGGGACTACTCGCTTGCTTTTAATAAACTCATCAATAACAATATTTGATACTTGCCAATTCATTTGTATTGTCTTCTCCAATAAAGTGTAGTAGAAATATGTTGAATGTTTGGTTCATGCTAATGTTGTGAGAAAAGAATATTCATCAGCACGTGTAGGGATGACGTACATTGTTTTTCTTAATTAGTCTGCACAGTTTTTGGATTTCTTGGCTTTATGTATTGCACATCATTTAATTTTATCAGGTATTGCATTGCAAACCTTGACAAAAGGCCTGTTCAGCTTCGCATATACTCAAGTGTGTCATGAACAACTCCCATTCCTACACCCCTGAACCAAACAAAGGAATATATTTTTTGTCAAATTTCCAGGACTAATTTCCACCCTACACCAAACGTGGGACTGGCACTAATAGTCCACTTTTCATGTCTCATCCCTTAGACTACCCATAGTGAGAGTAATATAGGTGATAATAGACAAAGCAAATGATGTGACAGGTAATTAATGAAGAAAAAGAGTCATGTGGTAACATAGCTACTCCCTCCGTCTGATGAAGAGTGTACATCTAAAATTTTTAGGACAAATTATGAAGTTGAGTAAAAGATGCATTGAAAAGGTGCAAGCCACCATCTCTCTCCTCTTTAATTTCCCAACCCCCAATGAGCTAAGTGCATGTATAAATTAAAAAGACCATGTGTAGATTGCTATTGGTCTTGATTATTGTGTGATGAGAGAGAAGTATTTTTTTCTACTTTAAATTACATTGGAAAGATAGAAGTACACTCTCTTGTGGACAAATTTTGAAGCTAGATGCACACTCTTCACCGGACGGAGGGAGTAGTTACTCATAGTATGAGTAACATCACACATATCAAGACAAGACAAGTCTATAACCTAATAAATAAAATGTTGCATGACACCACACATATATTACTCCTCACTATAAAGATAGTAATATAGACAATTAACATGTGTTACTCCAGTTTCAGCCAATTCCCCCTTAGGCCTCATTTGCTACAAGGGGATTTGAGAGGTTTTGGGAGGCTGGGATTCGAGAGGATTTGATGAATCCCCTCCTTCCACCCAATCCTGTCAATTCCCCTCACGTCCCCAAATTTCCAATCCTCTTCCATAAAAATTTGTTTGGTAGACGGGGTTTGCTATAATAAAGTGAGGTGGTGTGAAATGGCAACAATACAATTAAAAATCCAATCTTTGCAAGTTTAACAACTAGTACAAGAAAAAAATGCTACAAAACTTCACCTGTACTTGCTCCCAGATTATGCAAAGTGGCAATATAACCTCATTCAATCAGTACAAGTTCATGGTTCACATAAACCGAATACATACCGCTCCATAGACCAGTTGAACCTTGAACGTACAAGGTATTTATTAGCGAACGGTTATCACAAAGCAGACAACGGGCTAAGCAAGAGTGTGATATCCTTGTGACG